CATTCTGTGATTCTATGATAAAAACCTTTGTAACTCCAAACCACATTCTCTCAAACAACACACAGAAGATGAATCAATACTCTATCAGCTCAATCATGCTTCCAGTTCTCTCTTTTGCTACATACATCCAATGGCAACACTTGCACAGTAAGCATATGCAGACATGATTCTTTAGTTCCTTATGTCTTTGAAGACAGTGATGCTATCACTGTAGCACCAAAAAAATCAATTTTGAACACACAGCTTTGTACAGGACTCTAAAGAAAAACTGATGGGAAAGCCTTTTTGATTAAAATAAAATATTTGATCGATATGTTTATTAGTGATCTAAGACCTTTACTTTTCCCAAAGCACTTCATTTCTCCTAACCTGACAAGGGAAAGCTGACACTGAAAGAGGCCAACGCTAAGCTCCCAAGTTTTCAACTGCCTCAAGTCTGTTCACAAGCTTTCTTGTCTGCATGGAGCTGGAGTTACACCTTAAAATAAAAGATGACCTTACACCATGCAAGGAGAGAAATAACATATAGCTCTTGAACAGCTTTACTGATCAAAACTCTTACTTGTATTTGCAGTGATCAACCAGTGGAATTTCCTTTGCAGGGGGCTTTCCCAAGGTGTCCTTAAAATAAAGGGAATAAAAAACCAAATCGGTAAGCTTTCTGTGGAAATTCCATATTTGCTTTCCTTCTCAGTTAGAAACAAAGCTGAAGTCTCAAAACCCTCCATCCCCACTTCTGAGCAAGCCATCTCGGGTGGGCTTTTAAGAGTATTAGGAAGAATTCCCAGCCCTTCAAACATGAAAAAAGTTCAGTAAATTACACACTGCCTGTAAGCAAACGCCAGCACAAACACATTAAATGATAATGTTCAGTTGGCAGCTACGGAGTGGAAAACAGCTTGGGACAATGGACTGTGTGAAGCCAAGCGTAACTGGATTAGCCAAGACTGTCTGGAGAGAACTGGACTGTCAACTAAGTATGGAACTAAAAAGTTATCAACAACAAGACCAAGAAATGGAGATGACAGAAAAAGGTTTAAAAAGACTGACAACACCACACAGGCAGCTCGGGGCTAGGAGGAGAAGAATTGGCTAAGTTTGCTGTAAGGGAAGAGGATATTGGCCCAGGTTCCTCTTCTTATGTGTGCTGGTTTCCTTGAACAAAAAGCGTAGATGGAAGAAAAACGTTCGGCCTGCCAGGCTCTAGGCTCCTTCCTTTCATCCCTCAGAAGGATGCGGCCATCAAGGGAACTACAGGCCTGCCCCACCCTAAAGGATGACCTCCAACAAGATGCATCTTCCTCATCAAAGCCATCCTGCAGTGCCACCCTTTCTGCCCTTCACACTCAGGAGACAGACAGCACCCACGCACCTTCTCAGATTTCCAAGCCTGGTTTTTAGTATACTCGGCATCCACAAGTTCCGGGTTTTCTCGGGACAGCAGAATGAGGGGATCTCTCTCAGGGCTTGTTCTGCAAAAGAAAAGCTATCAGTCATTGTCAATCCACCTGACCCAACACAGCTAGTGAACTATGCGACTCAAGATCCTGCCTCTTTATGAGGCTGACCTCGCTGTGTCTCCCGAAAACGTTATTAAAGGCCTACCATGCAGCGTGTTTCTGTCCAAGGGTGTATCAGCAGAAGAGAATGAGTTATGTGTACCAAAATTGAGGTACACTTACTAAATATTTAATGGTATTATTGAAGCAACTCCCAGGACAAATCAGCAGAGATGATGCTTCCTTCAGGCCTTATACTGATGGGTGCCAAACACTTTAACCCCCCTCTAAGTCAGAGCGAGCTAAGAGACGCTAAGCATCTTCAGCGCTTGATCCCTCCAACGCTAGTTTAACACACTGCCGATAAACATGGTTATGACGTCCCCGAGACTCACTCACCATCATCTCCCGAGCCTACCTCGTTAGACACCATATCCATCCCTGCTGGGGATGGAGGAGCGAAGTTTTGGAGAAACAAAAAGGAGTAGGAGTTAACACTGTTTTCAAACGGTCGCTGGAGAGGGGGCAAAAATACCCTACTCTTATTCCCCACCGCTCAGGTAACTTAATCCAAGAACACTTGCCGATTGGCCATCGAGCGCTTGCACAGGGAGTAAAGCATTCACACTGGCAAGAAGCACGCACACCAACAGCGAATCCTGAAATCCTGCCGTTCCCTTCACAGAGTAAAACAAGCTGGTTCCTAGTGCGATAGCTTTACTGAGTAAGAAACAACACAGCAAATCCATCACAACTTCTGTTTCCAGTATGTGACTTCTCCTAGTTGCAAATGGCAGCTCTGTGGAGAATCACTAATGGTGAAATGCCGCCGTACAAAATGTCTTGCTGTCCTTGCTTTTAAAAAAAACCACACTCTGGGTTACCCTTGTTTAGGTTTTGGAGATAGAGAAACTTCTGCACGCAGGCAGCTGTCACGGCATATGTTGCTAGAGCCTCCTGTTACAGGAAAATATGCTCACCTGGATCCTCGGAAATATCCTTTAGAGATTTTTTTCCTCCATGGCCATTTTTCTGCAGATCTGAAAATATTGTTTATACACGGCAATGAATGATTTAACATAACCACGAAACAGCACTCTTATCAGTTTTTCACAGCATGAGCTCTTTTTACTGTTCTTCATTTTTGATGGAAATCACTTTCTTCATTATAACAGAAAAAACTCTCAGCCAGGTCCAATTGAAGCAGGTTTTTCTGTGAGTACTGTGTTTAAGGCAACACGATATAGGCTACTTTTCTAGAATACCTTTCAGTCAAAACAATGAATCACGTGCAAACCCCCCACTAAACCTTTAAGGGTATGAAAATGTACCTAAAATTTGAATGCATTGTTTGTATCGTTGCTTCATTTTTGTGTGCTTGACTGAATATGGATAGTGCAAAATAGAGTTTCTAACCACTGTCATTTCCCATTAAAAAACCCCAAACAAATGACAACAAACAAACAAGCCTAGTGTTTTGCATTTAACACACAGGTGTTCATTGTTTTCCCAAATAACGTCCATTTTCAATCTAAGCAAGTCGCTCCAAATAGCTGTTGGCCCGTCTTGTTTCTGACAGTGCAGTCACCCGCATCTCTCCAGGGAACTCTCTGTTGCACTTTGCTGCTGCACCTGGCTTGACATGTAGGTCCTGACCCCCAGACTGACCCCCACAGGTCAGGCTTTGCATCTGCTCGTGACCCTGTGACACGGGTGGGGTTCACCGAGAAAGCAAGCGCAAGTCAACGCTTTGCACCTTCATTATATTTTATCACATTAGGCTTCAGCTATGATTAGTCCCATAGAACTTCAGGTTTTGAAGAGAGAAACATTCGTCCTTGCATTCTGATGTCAAAGGATTGACATTAAGGTGGTTTTTTTCCTTGTTACATTCCTACGTTCACCAGTGCACATTTTGCTTGCGACTCTCCATGCGAAACAGCCCCTTATTGTGCTAACAGTCAAAGATCCTGCCAAAAAAAAAGACTCCCAATCCGAAATATCTTCTATCTTACTCTCAGCCCAGTAATGGCTCTTGATTCTTGGGAATGATTCCAGGTTTCTCTATTGCACAATGATACTCAAGTAAAAGCAGATCTAAAGAAGGCTTTCCTTTACCCTTCCAGAAGCTTATACAAACATCCTGGATCATCCCTGCAGTGAAAAAAACACAGCTCACAGAGAAGTACTTGGAAACAAAGGAAGATATTTCCATGTGTCAGGGGAGATTTCTGCAGGCAAAAGATAACTGCTACTTTATTGACAAACCCTATCCCACCACAAACGATAGTAATCTGGCCCTGACAGCTTGAAGAATGTGTGTACTTTGCCCTCTGCATTCTTTACTAAAGTGCTGGAAACAGAGAGGCTAATTATAACTTCTAGTTACATCATCCCAGGTTTCCATGGAGAGTTCTTGTACAGCAGTTTGGCTGTATGCAGCTCATGACAGGCAGCAGGACAGATCACAGGCCAACAGACCTATGGTCTCAGACTTCAACGCCGGCCCAGTGCCACCCAGTGCTCCATGGCTTTTACCGTGAGTTTGTCTTCCACTAAACCTCCCCTCACACAGAACCACTTCCAAAACATACCTTCTGAGGTCCTCTCTCATGAGGTCCCAGCGCCCCAAACCTGTTGGGTAAATCGGCCAAACGGCTGGTCCTCCCTCCCAAAACGTCCAGGCAGGATACATGATATCGTAGTATTCAGATGTCTTAAGAAAAAAAGGAGAATAAAAGAGTAATATTTACTTTGGTTTACAGACCGAGTGTACCAGCAATAAGCATCCCTCTGGGAATTCTGTCAGCTTTCCCTCTCACTGTCCCAGAAGCAGCCATGAGAGCTCTGTGGTCACCACGGTGGTGCTGGGGTTCATAGGAAGACAACCCAAGACAGAAAAGCCAGCGTATTGCAGCACGTACACGCGCTCCGAGCGGGCTGCTGGGCCAGCTGACCTCCTAAGGCCCTTTCCATTCAAAATGTTTTTAAAAAAGGCTACGTCTTGCTGCATAACAACATGGGACTTTCATGCTGGGAAATAACAAAAAAGTTCCATGGTATAGCTGGTTGGTAATTAGCAGAAGACCTGAGCTCCCACTTTCCTTTCTGAAGGCTGGGTCTACAGGTAGCTACAGATGTTTTCTACTGATCCTAAGTTGAGGCATTAATTCCTCAGAGACAGAGGCACTTCTAGACACTCTGACATTTAGACTTCCAACACTCCAGTTCATCCCAGCCTTCCTACAGGTCACTTAAAAATATCCATTGTGTAAGAATCTCAGTTCCTCAGTCTTAACTGGATGCTTACATTCCCATTTAATCAGAGTAAAGACCAGCGCTAAAAGGCTAAACCCTTTCATCAGACCACTCTATGGGTCACTTCCTTGTACGAGTAGTAAACTTTCATCCCTACTGCCCGTCACCTGGAGATCCTGGAGAGTCCAAGGCCACCAAGGTGGTTAGGAGGTTGGTGCATTTGACATAAAAAGGGCTAAGGACTGTGTTTGTTCATGCACAGGAAGAAGAGGCCTGGGGGAATATAAATACTGTCTCCTACTACCTAATGGAAGAGGTTATAAAACAGGGCACGCTTCTCAGAAGCGCATGGAGACAGAACGACAGGCCACAGGCCCTGACTGCAACAGGGAAAATTCCACTCAGGTACTGGGAAACATGTTTTCATTCTGAGGGAAGTCAAACACTGGGGCACGTGCCCAGGGAGGCTGTGGATACCTGTCCTCAGGAATGTCCAGAACTGGGCAGGACACAGCCTGAAGCCCCCTGATCTAGCTGATCCTGCTCTGAGCCAGGTGCTAGACTGGGTGACTCCCTGCAGTCCCCTTCAACCTAAATGTGTGTGTGCTTCACGATCTGCTCCTTCTCAATCTTGCTACAAACAGGCATTGACAGCAAACCACGACAGCTCCACCTCGACCCCAGTGTCGGCCTTGCAAGATGCGAAAGTGGACAATCCTGCAATCTCATACACTTCAGCCTTAGAAAGCTCCCTGGAGCCTTCCTCCTTCTAGCAGGGACTAATGCTGGCTGCTTAGGTGTGAGCTGTGCTTGTGTCACTGGGATTCAGCGAAGGACAGGGCTGAGGTTACAGTTCAGGTATCAAACAACAGGGACCGGAGAAGTACGTTTCTCGCGGGGTTCTGCACGGCACCCAGGGGCAGGATGGTGACTACGGCTGCAAAGATTCAACTCCTGCAACCTGCTCTGCACCAGCTCAGGTTCTGCTGGTTGGTTAAGGCTGTGCAGCAGCCAAGGGGCAAGACAGCTAGCTTTGCCACAACAGCCGGCAGCAAACACAGTTCTTGAACAGCACTGCTTGCAGCACTGTACTGGAATTCCAGAGAGTTTTAGGATGGCTGGGGACTAGGCAATACTTATGGATTGTATTAGGCTTCAGACCACATGAGCTGTAGACCTGGGTAAGACGCTACATGTTAGCCAAAACAGAATAGGGCCTGAACTAGCAAGAGCAAATGGTTTATTGCTCCTTTTTGCATCTTGCTATCTGCTGGGTTTCAGCCAAGGACAGGATCACAGTCAGGGTTAGGTAGTGAGGATGCAGGATTTGGGCATGTTGGGCATGCAATCAGGCAAGGCTGAAGCTTGCGGTGTAACGATATTTTGTTGGAAAGGATAATACATGATGGTACCTTCAGGTTTAACAACAGGAGAGGCAGGAAAACATACTGGAGGGCTCTACAGTCTGGGAACAGAGACACAGGGAATGAATGCGTCTGCATGCGTGTGCATGTTTGGAGATGAAAAGGGAATCCATGGGAAAAAGGTTCCCAGGAGACAGTAATATTACAGGAAAGAGGGTAAGAAATAATTAACTGTGGTAGAAGACGACTAAAATATTCATATTAAATGAAATTATCTGTATGACAGCTGACTGATGATCAAAAATTCTTAACAATGCTGATAAACTACAGCTACAGTTTCAACAGAGGCCCTGTAGCAAACGACAGCAATGCTAGCACACATCCCATCCAGCTGTGCCTCATTCCACTGTGGCAGAGGTACATTTTTTGATGTGGAAGAGGAGCTAATGAGGGGAAAAGCTGTTCTATAGAATAAATCTGCAATTATGTCTGCCAGAAAACGTGAAGCAAAAGGAAACAAAGAGCAAAAAAAGAGCAAGCAATTTTGACACACACAAAATCTGTGGGGAAGCATCCTCAACAATACACTCCCAAGAGAAAGGGGGACATGCACGTCTCAGAAACACCCAACTTCTAAAGGTGGGCGCACCTTACTGAAGGAGAAGACTGGGATAATGGGCTTTGTCCACTTGGGGACCTGGGGGTAGTCTCGCACGTTGATCACCATTTCCATGTCAGGGAGTCGGCTGATGATCCCCAGAAGGAAGTGCTCAACTCCACTGCATCTGCAGAGAAACAGCATACGGCAGAGAACTATAAAGAAGGTGGCAGAACCCTGCAGGTCTTGCAGCTTTTCTCTCTGCACAGGAGCAAAAGAGATGGTGAGCCTGAGCTGTAGCACTATGCAGGCTGAGAACTACCTGTAGCAGTCTCTAAGCCCCAACGCAGCACCGACAGCAATGAAGCAACTCATCCTGTCAAATCTGGCCTGATCTGCAGCTTCCTCTGGGATCCCACAACCAACCAATCAACCCAATGACACTTACTTCTTGCTACGTTTAAGCCTCAAACATAATCTTCTAGGCTCCTGCTCTGATGGAATTCAGACCTTGGAAATATCATTGTGTTCCATGACTTTCAACTTGGCAGAGTTGGAAGTACTCCTGTGTCTCAGCTAGGAAGAAGAGATCTTCTGCACACCTCTTACCTTGCAGGGAAGAAGCAGTCCTGCTCACGGTACAATTTGTTCTTAACGATTTGGTAGTGTGTCCCAAGCTTCTGGCTCACCGCTTCTGATATTATTTCCTTGGAAATGCCACCTTGAAAAGGAGCCAGGTCCTGTTTCCAGACACTGAAACAAAACAATTGGCCATTATTATCTACAATAGAGAGGATACTGTGCATTGAATTACTGCAGAATACAGAACATACTTCCAGCTAAAACAAGCCCCATGTATCTTCCAGGAGCTGTGCTATGTGTGGCATAGCAGAGAATTCAATGTAAGTCACTCGGAAGAAAAAAAAATCACGCCGACTCCCTGTGTGCTGTTACTCAAACAGAAAGCTCAGCACAGGACTCTGAAGCCAAGTCAATATGGACAACTCCAGTCACTCTCCTAGAAAGCACCTTACAGGCACAAGCCTTCAGCTCACTTAACCTTTGAGTCACAAACCTTGTGCTCTGGTCTCCCATGAACCATGGGCCACACCAAGACCAAATTCCTCCCACAACGTCATGCTATTTAGACATTAAAAAAAGGCAGTAAGAGTCTAGTTGCAAGGAACAGCATCACCCAATAATGCTGTGTGCAGGAAAGCCAGCCCAGAAGGACAGGCCTACGTAGCATGTGTTCTGTGACATCTGCACATCACAGTATGAAAACATAAACCTAACGAATATAAGAAAACACAGAAGGAGGATGCAGTTTATATAAATTCAGTCGAAAGGTCCCTCATATCTAACTGCTCGGAGCATTTAAGGAACACTGACAGGTTGCCATGGAGGCACTCTCCCTGCTTTTTGGGAGATGCTGCATCAACACCTCAGTTTAAAATGTACTGTACTGTACAGTATTAAATACTGTACTGTATTAAAACAGCACTGTCGGGGTGATCCCACTGTGAGGGTGGTCAAACACTGGCACAGGTTGCCCAGAGAGGCTGCGGAGTCTGTTCTTTGAGATACTCAAAACTCGACTGAGCAGTCCTGACAACTCTGCTTGAGCAAAGGTGCTGGACTTCATGACTTCAGGAAGTCCCCCACACAACTCCAGGATTCTGCTATTTTTGTAACCAGGTGGAAAACAGTTAAACTAGGTAAAGAATTGCCATTGAAATGATGGGCTGACCGCAGGATAAGCTGTCTGCCAGGGACACAAATGTAACAAGCTTGAGAACAGCAAGAAAGTTGCGGTTTTATGGCACATCCATGTCACTGTAACTTCAGTGACAACTGAAAGGTAGTAACGAACAGGTCAGGACCTTCAGCCCTCCGCCAGAGTCACAGGCTAGACGAGAGCAGAGTATGTTACATGAGGAAAATCACCGTTTTTCAGTGTTCTGCTGCATATTTACATGCCTCCAAATCAGCTCCCCGAATGACCCAAGTTTGTTACGTGTCGCACAATCGCACAGCTGTATCACCTTCCTGGATTGTTCTGTAATGCCCACCGCTACAGCAGTGCTCCTTAACAACCCTTAAATGAACAGTGGCTGTAGCGAAAACTAGGTCTGGCGAACCACCGCAACTGTAACCTCGTGTTGCTATGGCCTATCGTGCTCTGAAGCAGGTTTGGAGGTTGTAACCTCTCGGGAAGGTGCTCTTCCCAAAGGCGAGCAGGAGACCGTGAAGCGTATGTTTAAAGATCAGGAGATGTCTTTAGGCTATGTCTGAATTGGAACTGAGGAGAAAGACCGGAAGGCTAAACTCGAAGAGGCTTTTCCTCATCAATGTTTCAAGAGGAATGAAGATCAAAAGCTCCAGAGTGTGCAAGCCATTGCCCAAACTGACTCATCTGATAGTAAAAGCCGATGTGGCACTCATCTCACCCCCAGAATGAATGAGCACATCTAGTATTTTTTAAACAGGAGGCTTAAAGTTGGGCATCTGTGTTTCTGCACTTGGAAACCAAATCCTACAGACAAAAGGGTATTTCGACTCTTCCCTGTATTCCCCTTTCCCCTTTAAATAGAAAGGGTGCTTAAAGAGATCAGAAAAGCCCAGCCCTGCAGTCTCCACCCACACAACAGTGATGACCTGCGCGTCTGTAATATTCTTCATGCTAAAGCCATGCTCTGCCAGTGGGAACAGAGGGGAAGTTCAGTTTGGCTACGTCCACACCTGCACTGCCTACGGTGGTCTTGCAGCCACACGTAAGTCTCTAGCTCTCTGCGCTAAGTCACTGTGGGAAGATTAGCCAGTGCTGGCATTTTGCATAATGCCCCACCATTATTAAAACAAACAAACAAACAACCCAGGACTTGTGTCTTCCTGAACGAGCTACTCTTGGATCATACCTTGGTCATGTGAAAACTAGCTCGTTAAATATCCGCTGCCGCTCCAATTCCCACGCACAGTGAGCTGAACTCCATAAAAAGAGCACTCCTCCAATTCTCCTGTCCCCTCTTCCCCTGTAAGCCCTGTCCAAGCACAGGTGGTAAGCAAAGCTCAACACGCCATCACACCAAATGAATCTGTGTTCTGTAACAACCTTTCTCAGGCTAGCTATTTTAAAATATTTTGCACATCCTTGATTTCTTTCACTTTTAGAAGCCTGTGAGAAAGCCTTGTTAGCAACACCGCACTGAGATAAAGTGGATTGTCAACACTGAAATATGGACAACCGCGTCTGGGTTTATTGCGGGATCACGTATGAAACGCTGGCACAGTGTATGTTGTCCAGTCACAGGACAACGAGGAGGGTGATCAGTTTGCAGGTGGGCACGCCTTTTATTGGAACTGCAGTTTCACACAGCACCATTAATGACCTCCCTCTGGCAAGCACCGTGACTTCTGATGGCTGCATACACAATGCTTTAGAGCCCAAATATTCCATACTTCATTTCCATCCATCAGTGCCGGCAAAAGGATTCCCTCTCACTGCCAGAGGCCTGTGCAGTCAAAAGGAAACCAATCTCTCACCTTTGGTGGCAGCTGCAGTTCTCCTTTACGCACGGTTTGTAGACTTCCACAGCTTTCTTAATTTGCTCAGTTATTGTTTTCCATTTGGCATCTAAAACACACAGGAAGGGAAAGGCAAAGGCATTAATCCGTTAAACGACTGAAGCAATAGGAGCTGTGCCCATGGAGGGGCCAATCCAGCTGAGGGGGGCCGGGAAAGGGGTAGTGGCTCGGGCACCCCGTGGCGACCCCCGGGATGAAAGGGAAGCCGGGAGGAGCTTGGGATGGCTCACTCCCGGC